CAGATCTCTCTGAATCTGAAGTGTGACTGTACCATATTGGTAGAAGAGGAGCACTATAAGAAAGCAGTTTCACTTTAAATGATCAATAAGCAGCCCTGCTTTGATTCCATTCATAGTGGCTGAGCATTCTCATCCGTAATCCCAGCTTCTTACCTGGCGATAAAACCTAAAAGAAACACCACTGCCACTAAAGATAGCTTTGTGCTTATATTTACTGTAGAATAATACTTACCGCGTGCTTGAGGGTGCACATTTCATATAGGACGCATCCTAGAGCCCAAATGTCACTAGAAGAGGAAGTCACAAAAACAGATTAGAATGTTTACCCATTCTTGTGCATGAAAACACATGCAAAAAGACTGAACTTGCCCCCTTTTTTACATTTTCTTTCCTGCCCAGCCCTTTAGCATGCTATGCAGGATAGAAAATGTAGTTAAAACATCTGTGGTACGAGGGTTAGTCCTCACTGTACTTTGGTATAGACATGAGACAAATGTGAGTGAAAAAAGAGGGTGTACAAATATGCAAGACCCAATTCTGTTCAAGACTGCCACCTTGGTCTATTGCTTGTATATGCTTGCCAAGTGGCCAAATAAAAAAAAAAAATTTTTTTTTAAATATATATATATATATATATATATATATATATATATATATATATATATATATATATATATATATATATATATATATATATATATATATATATAATGTAGAATTATTAAAATCTTTACTGAACTTGTATTGAATAATTGTACTAACTCCATTTTTAATCTCACACTGTGACAGAACTTTCCATTTTGTTCACCTTACATGACAGTATTCAATATAATGAATAAGAGATTGTATTTTCTCTCTCTAAGGACATAACTAGCCCCGGAGTTAGCGGATCTCCGTTGACTTGCAACATAGTATAATCCAAGGCCAGGAGAACAGCGACTAAATGAAATGTTCTATTCATAAAAGAACCTTGGACCAGACCACGAGACTGACATCACTAACTACGTAAAATGATGCCCAAGCCCCCCCTTTCCACCGAGTAAGCCTCGTGCTAAAGAGCAATGACATCCCATGATGGGAGGGTGCCTCACTAGTCACTCAAATCTCTGAGCCAATTAATAATATTAATGGGTGGACACTGACATAGCCACTTAACATTTAACCCAATTAATGATGTTTATTTGTTATTATCTGATATTCAATGATGATGTCATTTTGCATATAAAAAGGCCTGCGTGCCCGCTTTTTAACTAGATGCTAATAAATTTCCTGAAGTGTTTTTAACCTGAACTGCATGTGTCAGTGTGAACTTACTTCTGCGTATACGCAATTTATTCATCTCAGATTTGGACAGGAACAGATAGACTTTTAAACATTTTTGTTTATTTCTAAATTAATCTACATCAATTTGGCGTCCATCCACGTGGGGCATCGGGCTATGGCCTCCGGCCGGTAAGCCGTCCTAAGGAAGACGCTGTTGGACGGAGGAATCGGGGGGGAAGGAAGAGAGACTGATCACCTCTGAGTACACGGTAGAGACTTCTGCAGGAGCCACCGGTATGTTCCAGCCCCTTTGATTGACCCGTCCACGTGTCTGTGACTGCTTCCCGGGAGGGCATCAAAGACAGGTAATATCTTGCCCGGTGTCTTGTTACCCATTTGTTTACCTGCATTTAGTCTATCTGTTGCCTGGGTGTGCTAGTGGTATATGTTTTGTTCTTTCCCTCTTTTGGGATAAAGGGGGGTGGACCCGTGGGTGGTTGCCTGGGGGTCTTCTGTTGCCTGTTTTTACCCCTTTTTAGGAGTCACTTGGCCCAGACTGTTGGGAAAAAAGGGGGGGTGGACCTGTGGGGATTTTCCAAAGGGGTCCTGTTTTCCTGTTTACTTCTTTTAGGTACTGTCTAGCTAACAGTAGTAAGGAAAAAGAAGGGTTGGGGGATCTGTGGAGGGGACTTGCCTCCTGGGGTTTCCCGGTTACGTCACTTTGATATTCTAGCTAGCCTCATTGTGTACGTTGCTCTGCTTGCAGAGGTTATGGTACCCTCCAGCTTCGAGCGCTGAGGCTGGTGGCATTCCAATTTATTTGTGGTGTGTGGATTCGGGCAGGCATTGTTGTCTCCATCACCACGGGGTAGTGTGACTTGTGGGTGGGTCTATAGGGAGCACTACGGGAGTGAGGATAGAGGTGGCCACACTTAGTGGACTGCTGTAACGAGGGAGGCATATGGATTTCGGGCCGGTGTTAGTCGTTATCCTTGGCCGCTGGTAGTGAAACTTACGAAAGTTGTTCTCCGAGCGGGGACACTACGAGATTGAGGGAGGTGGCCTTGGTGGCCACAAGAGTAAAGGAAAGGGATTACTGTTGATGCATGCACTGTATTTCAATTGAAATGTTGTATTAAATGTTGTTTTAAGTGTGGAGTCATTCAAACTCCTGGGTCTGTCTCTACTTTCACTGTTTACTTTTCCTCTACTTCCTGTACTATTTACACTATCCACTCCTATTTCTCTTGTAAGGGAAGTGATTGGTCACACACTTCTCACCCCGCTCCAATCCGTGGCTACCACCGAGGGTACACGGATTCAGTGACTGGTCTACGTTTTGGGAAGACGCACTGGGGACCCACTGGGAGGGACCCACCCTTCCTAGTGGCAGTCGAGCATTGTAGACGTTCTGTTTCATTTTCCTTTACCTATACTTGGGACGCTCTGTATAGGGGGATATGGGACAGGAAGTGAGTAAGCCCAGTAGGGACTGGCTCGCGTGTGATTTAGTTGAAGATAGAGAAGGTGAAGAGATGATTAAAAATGTTGCAAAGATTGCTAAAGTGTGTAAAATTGCTGTGCCTTCATGTGGTAGATTACAGCCAGAAAGCTGGCGTAGATTACTGACAGAGAAGAAAGGCAAGCTTACAGATAATGATTTATTACGTACTGCTGAAGCATGGTACAGAGTAGCAAAGGCTATCCAGCAGGAGGGTTGGGTAGAGGAAGAGATAAATCATAAAGGTGTAAGACTGTATGTGTATCATAAGAATTGTGTTACTGGGGCATCCTCTCAGCCAACACCCCAAGATGGTGCCCAGGGGATGTCTATTCCCAAGGTTCGGTCAGCAAAAGGCGACAGCCAGCTGACCATGTTCTCCACTCCCGAACCTCCCGTCACCCATCCCGTCACCTCCCCTGTCTGCCCAGTCCTGAATTCTGACGGATCCTTTTTCTCCCCTCCATCATCCCTAACACTCCCATCATCCCCATCCATCCCTGCATTGCCTTCTGTGACTAATCTGCCTAGTCTAAATGTTTCATCCACCATTTCTTCTCAACACTCACTCTCCGTTGCTAACCCTCCTACCCCATCTTCTTCCACCCAGTTAGCTAACCCCTCCTCCCTTGCTATTGCCAATCCTACTGCACCCACTTCAGCTACTCCTCCTACACCCGTCTCCACTAATCCCGCTCCGTCTTCCCCGTTACTCACTCCTCCCACAGCCCAAGTCCCCACTCCACCCCCTAATCCTTACTCAGCTATTATGCCCTCCCTTGGTTCCGCCCTAGCCCCTGCCCAGTTTCCCTGGCCATACCCCTTACCATACCCAATGTCCTTGCCCTACCCAAATTATCCCTACCCCTTTTTCCAAGCCACTCCCCAGACACCGGTCATGCCCAGTCCGGCCCAGTCTGCCCCGGAAGTGCCCACATCCAATATGGCCGCCACTTCTTCCCTTAACCCTAACGCAGCCCCTTTCCACGCCTCCAATATGGCGGCCCCCAGTCATTCAGCACCCCTGATGCCGGTACTTCCCGGTGACTACTCACCACAGGCTCATAACCTACCCGCCACCCCAGCATCTGGGAATCCCTCATTTCCCCCGGTTCTGACACCTCAGGTTATCCCATCACGTAGAAGGGCCCAAACCACAGATGAGGATGAGAATGATGAGGGTTTCCAGGGCTCACTAGAGGTTGTAGAGTCACAGCCCCACCGTTCCATAGATGATCCTTTCGGGCATGCGGGTCGGGGAAATAGGGGGGACCAGGCCCCTCTTAAATATGTTGCTTTCAATCCAACGCAAGCTAGTGCTTTAATAAAATCGCTCCCTGACCCAGAAAAGCAACCTATGCCTTTTTACCGAGGGATAGTTCAGATTCAAAAGACTTATTCCGCAGCATGGCGTGATTTACTAAGCATTTGTGCAATCAAGGCCGGGGATGCATATTGGCCCAGCATGTCCCGACACCTCAATGCCGATTTACTGACAAGTGACACTGATTACCCCTCCGGAGTAACTTTTTGCAGCCAGGTAAAGGAGTGGGCAAAAGACAAACTTGCAGATCAGGCTGCCGGCATTACTGATGTTATACAAGAGAAAGGAGAATCAGTGGAAAGATTTCATGCAAGACTGTTTCAAATGTTTACAGATTTGGGCTTTGATCGTACCGACAAGATTCATTCACAAATGCTGTCAGGTGCATTTGTCCAAGGTGTAAAGGATTATATTCGTAAGGGAATCATTGCTGCACGCCCTGAATATAAGGTAGTCTCTCTGGATACCCTACTTTTAGTTGCCAGGGGTCTAGAGTCTGCACAGGCTCCCAAAAAACAGACTTCGGTTTCTTCCTCAGCCCCTCTCATGGTGTCCCGCTTCACCCCTGTCCCAAGAGGTACCAAACCTGAGGATGGTTTCTGTTTCAATTGCAAGGCTAAAGGTCACTTCAAAAATGAGTGCCCGGAACCCAGAAAGGCGCCCAAGCCTGCACCTGCCCATAAGGCCACAGAAACGGTTCCAATTGTTAAGGAACCAGATGATTAGGAAGTTGGCAAGCCTGTGTCATTAACCCCTGTCATGGCAGTGTCTTCAGGGGATAAAGGGGGGGGGCCACTTGCCACTGTGACTTTACCCATTGAAGGACGAGAAACCACATTTTTAGTTGACACAGGTGCAGCCCGAAGTGTTCTGAGAGAACAAGACCTGCCAGATGCCTCATTCCTATCAGAAATAGATGTCTCTTGTGTTGGAGTGGATGGCCAACCAAGGCACAGTCCTTTAACAACCCCATTGCGAGTTGGCAATTACCCAAACTTGCTTGCTCGATTTGTAGTATCCTCCACATGCCCAATTAACCTGATGTCCTCTCACGCCTGCAGGCATCTATCACCTTCACCCCAGAAGGTCAAGTAGAATTGTCTACTCCCCTATCTAAATCAGATACCTCAGTTTTGTGCTCCCTACCTCTAGTGCTGCATTTAGATGAACCCCGTGGGGAAGCAAAAGAGCAGAGGTCCAATTTTTCGGATATCATCAAAACAAAGGTACCTGCAAAATTATGGTCCAAAGGCCCAGAAGACATAGGTCATCTGAGAGTTCCACCTGTGGTGGTAAAGCTCATTCCAGGAGCAAAATTACCAAGAAAACCACAATATCCTCTAAAGCCAGCTCAGGCTGCAGCTATTTCAATTCAAATCAAAGCACTTTTGGAGAAAGGTGCTCTTGTGAAGTGTGAATCAAAATGCAACACCCCATTATTTCCTGTGAAGAAGAAAACACCAAAAGGGGAACCAGAGAAGTACAGAATGGTCCAGGACCTCAGAGCTGTCAATGAAGCAACTGTCCTGGACACCCCTATTGTACCAAACCCCCACACTCTGCTATCTGGAGTTCCACCATCTGCAAAATACTTCACAGTCATTGACCTGGCTAATGCCTTCTTCAGTGTTCCACTGGATCCGACTTGCCAATACCTGTTTGCTTTCACTCATGAAATGCAACAGTATACATGGACTGTCATGCCCCAAGGGGCACAAAATTCTCCAAGTCAATTTGCTAAAGCCATGTGCTCCATCCTGGACCCATGGCAAACAGACCACCCAGAAGTTGTCCTACTTCAGTATGTGGATGATCTCCTACTTTGTGGGGATGACATACCTACAACAGAAGACTGTTCTATTAGTCTCCTTTGCTACCTAGCAGAACAAGGATGCAAAGCTTCACGTCTCAAGCTGCAATTCTGTCAGCCAACAGTAATCTTTCTTGGACATTGCCTATCTCAAGGCACCAGACATCTCACTCGGGACCGAGTCAGAGCCGTACTGGAGATTCCACCTCCAAGAACCACAAAATCTCTCCATGCTTTTTTAGGCCTCATTTCCTATTGCAGAGCATGGATCCCAGAAGCCTCTCTGCTTGTGCAGCCACTCTATGATGCACTCAAGTCAGACCCATTCTGCCTGACAAATGAAGCACTGGACAATTTTAAAATTCTGAAACGTACCATTGCATCTGCTCCTGCTCTGGGCCTACCAGACTACACCAAACCCTTCAAATTATTTGTCTCTGAAAGACAAGGCCACGCCACAGGAGTGCTTACCCAAACAAATGAGTTAAGAGGCCGCCAAAGGCCTATTGGGTTTTTCTCCTGTCAGCTGGATATCGTGGCCAGAGGGGCCCCTTCATGCCTTAGGGCTGTTTTTGCTGCAAGAGAACTTATTGAGAAAACTGCAGACCTGGTCCTTGGTCATCCTCTGGTCGTATTGGCACCTCATGACATTTCTGCCATTATCAACCAAGTCCAGCTCAAACATGTGTCTCCTGCCAGACACCTGCGTTTACAGTGTCACCTCCTGCTACCTGACAACATCACCATACAAAGGTGTCAAGTTCTTAATCCGTCCACTCTTCTTCCACTCCCTGAGGGGGGCATCCACTATGGGTTTATCATGGACGAAACCTATATTTTTCTCCTCACTGGAACCATCAAGAGGATGCATCCTGATTTAACCTTTTATAAAGAACAAAAACCTCTCTGTGAGGGTCCAGGATATGCCTTCTGTACCACATGGTACAAGCCGAACATCTCTCCTGAACCTTGCTATGAAGATGAACTCTATCACTGGGTGGAGGTGAAACTCACGACTTCTATTGTGATTCTGAAGGCAATAGCATGGTCTTGATCGAACTACCTTCAGAACTCAAGTATTTATACCGTCATTGGGATACTGCTATTCCACATGTCCCTGTTACCAAGTTGAAAACAAAATCATGGAATGATCTCGGCCCATGGCGAAATTATGGGCCACCATGGATGACTCGAAGTTACAGGAAAATGGCATTGCCAAATACCCCACAACTGACCTACTTGAAGCATGGCCACGCCATTTCCTGGAAAATGACTTTAAAAGCCTGGTCATAGTAAACGACTGTGACCCAGAGACTCCCCACGACTGTTTTGAACAGATGAAAATGGAGACCATACATCTACCAACGGTGCATGAGAATCCATTGACAAATCCTGATTTCACTCTGTTTGTGGATGGTTCAAGATATGCTGATGAAGAAGGAAAATACCACACAGGATATGCCGTAACCACAACAGATGAAGTTATCAAGTCATCATCTTTACCACCAGCAATGTCTGCGCAAGAAGCTGAATTACAAGCCCTGTCTTGAGCATGCAAAATCTCCGAAGGAAAACGTGCCAACATCTACACAGATTCAAGATATGCCCTAGGTGTGGCACACGACTTCGGCCTCATATGGAAGACAAGAGGATTTCTTACTACTGCCGGCACACCAGTCAAACACAGCTCTGCAATCAAAGAGCTAATGGATGCCCTCCTACTCCCTGAAGAAGTGGCCGTATTGAAAGTCAAGGCACATGGAAAGTTGGATACAGATGAAGCAAGGGGCAACCATCTGGCTGATCAGGCTGCTAAGCAAGCAGCAAGAAATTTGCAGGAAGTGGACGAAGAAGTGTCCGGTCAAGAAGAAGTTCCTGTTTTTACTTTACAGACCCTTCCTACTGATCTAAGGATTTTGCGGGAACAGCAAGCCGCAATTACCCCTGAAGAGATCCAGAAATGGAAGAAGAAAGGGGCTGTCTTAAAGGACGGAATATACTATAACAATTTCAAATTCTGCCTTCCAAAAAACTTATACCCAGCAGTTGTCCAATGGGCACACGGACCAGCACATCTGTCAAAAAATTTAATGGCCGCCCTCATGCAGAAGTATTATGAAGCCCCTGGAATAACAACATTGATCACTAACTTCTGCAGGGTTTGTGCCATTTGCGCAAAATGCAATCCAGGGAAGCCAATCAAAGTGCCTACAAAACATCTGGCTAAGCCCATGTACCCATTCCAGAGAATTCAAATTGATCATATACAAATACCCAAGAGCGGGCCCCATGAATATGCACTAGTGATAGTGGACATGTTCTCAGGCTGGCCAGAAGCCTACCCAGTAGCCAATATCACTGCCAAAACAACAGCAAAACGTCTACTTACAGATGTTGTATGTAGGTTTGGACTTCCAGAAGTTATTGAAAGTGACCAGGGCCCAGCCTTTACAGCAACAGTGACTAAAGAGATTTGGACTGCTCTGGGGGTGACCCTAGCCTTTCACACCCCTTACCACCCACAAAGTAGTGGGAAAGTGGAACGCATGAACTGCACCTTAAAAGCCAGAATGCTTAAAATGTCACAAGAAACAAAGATGCCCTGGCCAGAAAGTCTACCAATAGCTCTATTTAGTGTTAGGCACACACCTGGAGGGAAGCATTCACTATCCCCATACGAGATTCTATTTGGGACCGCACCCAGACTAGGTTGTTATTATCCACAACAGTTACAGCTTCAATCTGATGTTTTAGTAGACTATGTAATTGAACTTGCAAGTGCCTTGAACAAAATACATGCCCAAGTTTTCTCTTCAATTCCAGATCCCGATTTGGATACAGGTACCCATAGCCTGCTTCCTGGAGATTGGGTTCTGGTCAAGAAGTTTGTGCGGAAACATACCTTGGAACCAAGATTTGACGGGCCATTCCAAGTTCTCCTAATCACCGCAACCTCCGTCAAATTGGCCGGCCGGCCACATTGGATCCACGCTTCCCATTGTAAGAAAGTACTTGCCCCAGAGGAAGCTAGTACCGCACCACCATGTACCTCTGGTACCGTATCTTCTTAATCAGCTTAATTAAAGCTCAACAAGTAGCCATCACTAAAGATGCTAGTGGGTACACCTTCTGGTATAATTCATCATGTACCCGTGTGGCTACTTATACTTTTGACTACTGTGACATCGTAGAATGCCCATTCCCCACGTCACAGATTCAGAATATCTATAGAGATATCCCTCATTCAAAAGACCCCTATGTTTGTGTAGTTGACAAACAATGGGGGCACAACTGTAACCATTGGGGGGCGGCGGGATGGAATGCCGGGCCTGCCTGGGGTTACAAACCAAAAAGTGCCTTATCTAAAATTGATGATCACGGTAGGTCCCTCCTCCAGAGAATGACTCTAAGAAAGCCCGGAGGAGGCATACCTATGAAATTAATCTTAAACATTGAGCATCCCAGCCCAACGGATGCAGACCAGTATGTAATGGGAATGTACTGGAAGAAGGGTTCCTATAATAAATTAGGACATTTCCACCTTAAAGATATGTGCCACTCTCCTGAGTGGAAAGGGACCACCCACATGGTCTCAAATCCGTTGAAACCACACATCCAATCTTTTAAAGACATGATGGCCATTGCAAATCCAACATTTGAAGATACCATGGCCGCTGAAACAGGTTTCAATGATGTTAATCTATGGTTAGAATGGATGAAATATAATGCCAACAAACATAACAGAACCGCATGCTATGTGTGTGGTGGTGCCCGGCCGCACCTGGGCACTGTGCCTTTAACTTTGCCAGTAGATATAGAAGAATGTGTTCTGAGTCTTTTTGCCTATCACTACAATTTCAATAGGTCCATATGTAAAGCATGGACAGTAGAGTATCCTCTTCTAGTCAAAGATTGCAAACCCCCAGATGGTGTTACCGTCTATAAAGGTAATTATACCTGTTATGCTAATTATGATGGAATTGGTAAATTTGTGGGTAACTTCTCTAAAGGTTATTGTGCCACCTACAGAACTGTCTCTATGAACCTCCTACAATTCCACACTAGATCATTGGGGGATATTTACTGGTTGTGTGGGGATCTACAGCTGAGATCAAGAATGGATAAAGAATGGTGGGGGGAGTGTACTCTGGCTAAATCAATCATGCCCATACATATTATCTCTGACACACACCCCGATACTCATGAGTCCAAACACTCACCAACCAAGGTAAAGCGTGAAGCCCCAGTAAAAGGCAGTTTTGACCCTCATATTTACATTGATGCCATTGGGGTACCTAGGGGGGTGCCCAATGAGTTTAAAGCCAGGGATGAAGTTGCTGCAGGATTTGAATCACTTTTTACCATAGTCACTGCAAACAAGAATTTAAATTGGATAAATTACATCTACTACAACTAACAACGGTTTGTTAATTACACCAGGGATGCCCTTCAGGGTTTGGCCGAACAGCTGCAGGCTACGTCCCAAATGTCATTCCAGAATAGAATGGCTTTAGATATGATTCTAGCCGAAAAAGGAGGGGTATGTAAAATTCTGCCTGACACCATGACATGTTGTACTTACATCCCAGAAAACACAGGCCCCAATGGTAAAGTAACCTTAGCTATAGAAAAATTGAAAGAGCTCTCTGAGGAGCTAAAGAGGAACTCTGGGATAAAAGATCCCTGGGAGAGATGGTTTGGTTGGATGACAGGATGGCAAAAAGCTTTGATGCATATTGGTATAGCAATACTAATTTTCCTTTTTATCTTTGCTCTTCTCGTTTGTTGTGTCCTCCCTTGTCTGAGAAAGCTCCTCTTGAAGACTGTAGACCAAGCGGCACCCACTTTCGCACACCTCACAGTTGATGACCAAGATTTCCAAAAAGTCAACTCGCCCTGTATACCGCTACAATCTATCCCGTTTATTGATAAAGTGCAAGAGTTCTAGGAAGGGACCAGCTTAGGGACAGCATCTGTCTGTCTGGGAAGTCTACCGTGCGGAGATGTGGTGGGTTAGCCACCTCGGGATACCCATGGAGTGAAGTGTTCGAGTGCCCAGCGGACAGATGAGTTAGCCAATTAGGGACAGACGAAGGGACAGCTTTGCACTTTGCAATAACACCTAGCTAGCGGGTCACGGGGTTTCTGTGCCTTTGGGCTAACACGTCTTCTGATACTAACAAATAAAGATTATCTTTTAGAATCTAACATTTCATAGGGGGGACTGATGTAGAATTATTAAAATCTTTACTGAACTTGTATTGAATAATTGTACTAACTCCATTTTTAATCTCACACTGTGACAGAACTCTCCATTTTGTTCACCTTACATGACAGTATTCAATATAATGAATAAGAGATTGTATTTTCTCTCTCTAAGGACATAACTAGCCCCGGAGTTAGCGGATCTCCGTTGACTTGCAACATAGTATAATCCAAGGCCAGGAGAACAGCGACTAAATGAAATGTTCTATTCATAAAAGAACCTTGGACCAGACCACGAGACTGACATCACTAACTACGTAAAATGATGCCCAAGCCCCCCCTTTCCACCGAGTAAGCCTCGTGCTAAAGAGCAATGACATCCCATGATGGGAGGGTGCCTCACTAGTCACTCAAATCTCTGAGCCAATTAATAATATTAATGGGTGGACACTGACATAGCCACTTAACATTTAACCCAATTAATGATGTTTATTTGTTATTATCTGATATTCAATGATGATGTCATTTTGCATATAAAAAGGCCTGCGTGCCCGCTTTTTAACTAGATGCTAATAAATTTCCTGAAGTGTTTTTAACCTGAACTGCATGTGTCAGTGTGAACTTACTTCTGCGTATACGCAATTTATTCATCTCAGATTTGGACAGGAACAGATAGACTTTTAAACATTTTTGTTTATTTCTAAATTAATCTACATCAATTTGGCGTCCATCGTTCGTGCCTTGGTGCAATCCCGCGTTATGGAATATATAAACAAAAATAAGAGATGCACTCTAAGGACTTTTATAATCAATAGAAAAGTATTTATTAAAAAGAAGGTTTACATAATAAGATCGACGTTTCGACCCCTCAGGGTCCTCCTCAAGATCTTGAGGAAGACCCTGAGGGGTCGAAACGTCGATTTTATTATGTAAACCTTCTTTTTAATAAATACTTTTCTATTGATTATAGAAGTCCTTAGAGTGCATCTCTCTCTCTCTCTCTATATATATATATATATATACACACACATATATATATATATATATACACATATATACACACATACACACACACACATACAGGAACCTCAGAACTTGAACAGTCCCATTCCCGAACAATTCAGAAGTCGAACTAAAATTCTGAGTAAAAAAATGCTTCTGTATGCGAACGATCCTCGGTACCCGAACACATCACGCGGCATTAACCTCTATGGTAATCTCGTTGGTACCTCGTTAGCATAACGCATCGCTCCATTCTGTCAGCAAACAGCTCCATTCTGCCAGTTAACAGTCATTCAGTCTTCAAATAGAGTTCCACTAACTCTTAAATAAATTTTATTGAGTCTTCACATAGAGCTCCATTCGGTCTGCAAAAATTCACCATGGGTCCCAGGGATATTAGCCAAGCCAAGAGGAAAATTTTGAGTACAACAATAGAGTTGAAGAAAGAAATTATTTTAAAAACGTGAAAGCGGTGTCCGTGTCTCTGATCTAGCAACACAGTTTGGAATGGCCTAATCTACAATTTGTACCATATTTAAAAAAATAAATAAATAAAGACGCCATCCAAGGAGCCAATGTTGCTAGAGGGGTGAAAGCAATTACAAAACAAAGAAGGCATACACTAGAAGATGTAGGAAAAATTGTTATTGATATGGATAAATTAAAAACAGTTAGCCAGTGATAGCATTTCAAAGGCTATAACTTGTGGAAAAGCAAGACATTTGCATGCTGATCTTGTGAAAAAAAAAAACTGAAACGAGTGCTTAGAGTGAGGTTGGTTTGAAAAGTTGAAAAAGAGAAGTGGTATACACAGTGTGGGGAAAACATGGTGAAGCTTCCAGTGATAAAGATGGAGCTGAGAAATTTGTTGTTGTATTTAAAGCCTATGTAGAGGCTCAGGAATTTGTTCCCCAACAAGTGTTTAACTGTGATGAGACAGGCCTGTTCTGGAAGAAAATGCCAAAGAGAACCTACGTAACAAAGGGGGAGAAATCACTGCCAGGACACAAGCCAATGAAGGACAGGCTAACCCTGTTTTTGGGTGGGAATGCGAGTGGGGATTTTAAATTCAAGCCTTTGCTAGTCTACCACTCGGAGGACCTGAGGGTATTTAAGAAAAACCATATCCAGAAAAGCAAATTGCAGGTGATGTGGAGGGCTAACAGCAAAGCTTGGGTAACCAGGCAATTTATAGAGTGCGTTCATGAGGTGTTTAGGCCAAGTGTTAAAAAAATTAATTTAAAAAACAAAAACAAACAAACAACAAAACATTTTCTTTGTAAACAACAAAACAAACTTGCCTGTCAAGGCTCTGATCCAGGATTGTAGGACGAATTGATGGACTTTTATTAATATGAAGTTTTTGCCCCCCAATACAACTCCTCTTATCCAGCCCATTGACCAGCAAGTAATTTCAATCTTCAAGAAGCTTTGCACTGTTCCAAAGGTGCTTTGAAGTAACCTTAGATACAGAGCTAACCCTTAGAGAGTTCTGGAAAAATAGTTTTAATATCCTACATTGTTTACACCTCATAAATAAAGCATGGAGGGATGTGTCTTATAGGACCATGAACTCAGCCTGGACGAAATTGTGGCCAGAGGCTGTCCCTGAAAGAGTCTATGACGGTATTGAACAGGATGCGCCTGTTGTTGAGGATATTGTGTCTCTGGAGAAATCAATGGGCTTGGAGGTGAATGATGAAGATTTTGAGGAGTTAGTGGAGGATCACCAGAACAAATCCAAGACCTTAAGAGGGAGCAGCAAAAGAGGGCATCTGAGGAATTGTCATCAGAGGAGGAGGAGGGAAGGGAAAAATGTTCCTAGTTCACTGATCAAAGAAATGCATGCGAAGTGGGTTGAAATCTAAAATTTTGTTGAAAAATATCACCCTGATAAAGCTGCTGTAAGTCATACCACAAACATGTTCAATGATAATGCTATGTCTTACTTTAGACACATTTTAAAACAAAGGCAACAGCAAGTCCCAATAGACAAATGTTTAGTGAAGAAAAGGTCCAGTGAGCCTCAACCAGGGGTCAGTGGTGTGAAATGATCAAGGTAAAAAACGTCAGAACAGTTACCTTTTGTAATTACGGAAGGCAACAATGATAGCCCCTCTCCTTTCCACTTCCGCCATCAACTCTCATCATTACAGGTAAAGTGACATTTTCATTTACTGTACATTGTGTTTATTATTTTATGCATGTAAGGCATTATTAAACAGTAAAATTTGTGTTACAATGCTGTAATTTTGGGGGTCTGGAACAGATTAATCAAATTTACATTAATTCCTATGGGAAATGTTGATTTGGTTCTCGAACATATCGGAACGGATTACATTTGAGTTCCGAGGTTCCACTGGATAGAGATAGATATAATTATCGGTTCGGCCGATATGGATACAGATATTGCCGATAATGTGAGAGGCAGCAGTGGCCCCTTAGGGCGCAAAAATCGCGTGACCTGCATGAAGAAAGCGCTCAACACTCTTCCCTACCAGTCACTCAGTGTAGCGTGGTCGAGCAGAGCGGACCGCGGTACAGAAGCTTCAGTTTCTTGTACCCGGCCGGACTGACAGGAAGTGCTCACTGAGAGAGCACTTCCTGTCAGTCTGGTCAGGTACAGGAAACTGAAGCTCCTGTACCGTGGTCCGCTCTGCTCAGCCACTCTACAAGAGAGGTAATGACTCACACCGGGAGGGGAAAGGAGAACACTAAATAGTCTTGAAAAAAAAAAAAAAAATCTGACTGACATGTATATTTTGTGCATTTACCACTTAATAAAAAAAAAAAAAATTGCGGAAAAAAAAAGTTCAATAAACATATTCAGTTAACAGTAGATTTGTGTAGAAATTGTTTCTTTTTCACAGTGGTAAATGTTCGCGGATTATCGGCTATCAAAAATCTATATCAGTCGAATAAATATATACACACATACAAATATATATATATATATATATATATAAAAAACATACATACATCCATACATACACACACACACATCCATCCTTCTCCAATTAGACTCCCAGTGTATACCATGCAAGTTCAAACAAACATTATACAAACCTCTTGTTGTTATAAGGTCTGTTCTCACATATTTCAGGAGACAGATAGTAAGGTGTTCCTATACATGTACGAGCCAGCTCTACAGTACTAAAAAGGAAGGAAAGACACAGCAAATTAACAGTTATAACCCGTACCATACCTTCCAACAACATATAGTTTAGAGGCAGTCTTACCTGTTCAGAACCCTGGCTATTCCAAAGTCACCCAGTTGGATTGTTCCACTCTTTGTCAAAAATATATTCTACAGTGGATACAAAATGTATGTATATATTATTAAGCCATCTGGAGTGAGATAGAGAGGAACACAAAAATATATATTGTGATCTATATGGCATTTTAATATGTGATGTTAAGCCATTTCCCACAATTTCACATGGCATAAAATGTTAATCTGTACCCTGAATAATTTGTTCAATGGAATTAAAATTAAAAAACAAAACCCCCCCAATCTAAGAAAAAAGTCAATTAATTGCCTTCAAGCACATGTAGTTCATGGAAATTAGGTCAGTTCTGTAACTCCATCAGTATCTTATAAAAATAAATTGAAGTATAGCTGACTCTAGGTGTGTGCAGAGTGCCTTGCCTGGGGATGGGTAATGTTTGCTGTATAATTATAGAATGGCGTGTGTTACATTCTTTTGGACTTATTTGGTAAATTCAGATTTACAGAGCATATTCCAACCGTAACATAAGATCCAGATAACCACTACTTTGTTCAGCTAAATAAAGGTCCCCTGAAAACAAGGGGTACAATATTAACCCCCATCTTGCTTGTAAAGATGTATTGTGGAAAAGTTGTCCAAGAATGTCCTACTGAAGAGAACATGTGGTTTTGCAATTTACATTACCTGTGACTTTATGTCCCGATGTAAAATTTTTCTGTCATGGACATGTTTTAAAGCCAAGCACAGCTGAACAAACCAGTCGAGAATCTAAATAAAACAGAATAATCCATATAATGAAATAGCAGTACAATCCTGAATTTGCACAAAATCACTATCTGCTTCTATAGAATGGTTTCACTTGTACGGACGAAACCAGTTGATGACCTGTTGTGGGCACTAATTAGTGTGATCCCTTTTAAACCCACGGACAGTTCCTGATATCATTGCCTCCACTACTCTGGTACGATTATCCAGTTTATTTACTGCTGCTCATTGTGCCTCTAAACTATTTAATCAATCTGCATCTAATTAAGCGAACCTGTGTATCCACACTCAACTTTTAAGCGACCGTTTTGATTCAGCCTGCTGCTCAACTACCCACTGTTAGAACTTCACTATATGTATAGACTAAGCCTGTGGGAAGATTACCACTTTCTACTTATTGGGTCCCCTCACTGCATGGTATGTGAACAGAAGTGGATTCTTCAAAGTTTTATGATTTTAGGTTTATTCTTTTATTCTCCTCATTCACCAAGTATTAACTATCCACTTACTTCAGATGGAAGGGGTTTTCATCCACATTATTTTCCCCACCACAACTCTGTTGCGATATATACATACGTACATACATACATAGGTTGTTTTTTTACATTAAAAGGAACACTATAGGGTCAGAAACACAAACATGTATCCCTGACCTTATCGTGTTTAACCCACCATTTAGGTAGCTAGCACCCCCTTAGTTTAAAACTCTCCTTATTTCCAGCGCCGGGCGTGTCCGCCGGCACTGGCCCTGCCCCTTTTTTTTACATAATCTAAATGGGCGATTTTTAGCCATAGGGAAAGCATTGGATTGGCTAAAATCGGCACTGGGCGGAGCCAAATGCAGTTTTGGCCAATCAGGACCTCCTCATAGAGATGCATTAAATCAATGCATCTCTATGAGGAAAGTTCAGCGTCTCCATGCTTTTTCGGCAGCACTGACCCAGGAAGCACCTCCAGTGGCCATCTGAGGAGTGGCCACTTGGAGGTGACCTCTAGGGGCAATGTAAACACTGCCGTTTGCATGAAAATTCCTGAAGGGAGCTATTATACTCACCAGAACAACTACATTTAGCTGTAGTTCTGGTGATTATAGTATCACTTTAAGAAAGATGCCCTAACTATCCAATTTGCTCTTCTTTATTATGATTGTTTTTTATATGTAATGCACTTTATTACTATTTGATTTTTTTTTAATGACTTCGATAATTGCATATGCACTTTTTGTCTAACCAAACAACTTTGTGTAATACTAGACACTGTTTCTTTTGCTATAGTTTTTAATAAAATATAGCAGTTTTCTCATATTGGTATTTGCTTTTTTTTTTTTTTTATGCCGCTCTCCTTACTTATATTTTATGTATTGACTTCTAAGAATTGGACACAAAATACCATGAACAAATAATGGACATGGAAAACAAACAAAAAAAAAAGTGGTTCTTTAAGCAGAAGGCTTTGTACTGTGGGGATTATGGACACACATATTCCTAACAAAACCTATTAAAGGACCACTATAGTGCCCTGAGGGTGCCCCCACCCTCAGGGTCCCACTCCCGTGGCGCTGAGGGGGGAGGAAGGGGTTAATCCCCTACCTTTTTTCCCAGCGCTAGGCTCCCTCGGCGCTGGGACTCTCCTCCCTCTTCTGATGTCATAGGCTGAATGCGCATGTGTGGCAAGAGCCGCGCGCGCATTCAGCCAGTCTCATAGGAACGCATTCTCAATGCTTTCCTATGGACGCTGGCGTCTTCTCACTGTGAAAATTATAGTGAGAAGCGCCTCTAGCGGTTGTCAATGAGCCAGCCACTAGAGGCTGGATTAACCCATAGGTAAACATAGCAGTATCTCTGCAACTACTATGTTTACAGCAGAAAGGGTTAATCCTAAAAAGGACCAGGCACCCAGACCACTTCATTAAGCTGAAGTGGTCTGGGTGCCTATAGTGGTCCTTTAAATGTAAACTTCAATTTACAACATTAGCACACACAAGCATTATGTGGGTCAAAATATCGCTTCTGCAGCACAAACAGGAGAAAATGAATTAGCAAATAAAATCTGAAAAAATAAATTCTATGTACTTTATAAAGTGGTAAAACTGATGTTGACCTCATCTTAAAAGGTTTTCTTTTTTGCTACAAAACCCCCTGAGGACGGAGGCAACTGTGCAACTTTTGAACAAAAACACCGGTCGGCCTCCTTGGCTGAAATTATCAGAATTGACAAGCTCAGCCAATCCAATTCTTTCCTATAGGAAAGCAAAGGGCAGAGCCAAATGCCACTCTGGCCAACTAGCATCTTGTCACAGAGATGCATTGAATCAATACATCTCAATGGAGAATGTTCAGCGCCTCCATGCAGAGTGTGGAGACGCTGAACTTCAGTGCTGCACATAGTCGAGTACTGACGTTCAGCGTCTCCACACTCCGCATGTGTTATGGACAAAATATTAGAATTAGTAAAATGTTTATTTACGCTTTGTATCTGTGCTCATTATTCACTGTGTTAACCTGGCTGCTTCCCCTCTAACCACTCCTTTGTTCAGTAACTGTTCCCATCGACTACTGCCTCGTGTAACAAGATGGTGCTGGAATGTGTAGGAGAGTTCCATGTTCGTAATGAAATCACGGCCAGTAGGATGAAATTAGATGAGACCCCTTAAAGTGTAACCAATTGTTGGTGTATTTTCTCTGTTATCTAGAATTAATTATGCATGTGACGTATTTCTGTCTTCATAAGGGACTCCCGCCCCCTGATTAAACATTCCTCAAGTTCTTCATCAACCTAAAACTTGTGTCTGGTGTGAATTACTTAGGAGCGTGCATGCATACATTTTAAACAATCTGGACAGGGGCAGATATTCAAATAATCAAACACTTGGTTTGATCCAAAACACATGGAGGCGCCGCACATTGTGCTGCACTAAACTAAGAAGTACCTCTAGTGTCCGTTTGAGTGACTGCCACTGGAGGTGTCTTTAGGCAGTAAATACTGCCCTTTTCTCTGAAAAGGCAGTGTTAACATGAAGATACCTGCAGGGACATACTATACTCACCAGAACAACTACATTAAGCTGCAGTTATGGTGACTATAGTGTCCCTTTAAACAAGGGAAGGAGCAGATATCACACAATCTTGCCATTTGTGCCCACAGAATCAAGGCATCCTGGTAGGTTAATATGGCTATCCTTTCCTGCCTCCTTTGCCCTTTCTCTCTTCCTCTTCCCGCCTTGCCGACCTCCTCTCCTCATAGTGGTTCGACCTTGCTCCACACAGGAGTATGGACTCACTGCCCACATGAGCTTATCAGGGAGACTATCACAGTCTCCAAGACATTCCGAGTATAACTGGACCCCCGCATGGGGTGAACACCCGATATATACCACAAGCTTATGGGCGAACAGGTTGGGGAGGCGAATTACTGCAGGTGAGACGGTTGGCTAACATAGCGCTACAGGAGCTATCAGCTGGGCATGTACAAAATGACCATGGAGCCCCTTACTACGGTGACACAGACAATACAAAACAGGTGTGACATACTCTCTAGACCATTTAGTCTCGCAGACACATACAACCTTTAGCCAACCTGTAACTAACGAACAGGAGAAACTCCTCCATACACAACCGTACTTACCGAGGGCACATTTACATACATATTCTCCTCCCACCCCCCCCCCATCATTTTAGTTTGGGTCATTAAATAAAGGTAGTTGTTTGTTATATACTTCACATTAGGTGTGTGGTTGATTTGTACATATTGTAGATTTGATATTCAACAACCAAGGGGAGTGGTTTATTCAACTTTTAGAACCATATTCTTAGTCACATACATGCTGTATGTTGGAAGATGCCACGGGCCCATATTAAGCATTCTGGGATTGAGATAATGATTCTAGGAGAGCATGGATGCTACTAGGGTTCAAAATTTCCACTCACCACATTGCCATTGACAAATGAAAATTTAGCACTGGTGAGTAGAATTCACCTCTGATGAGTATGCTATGGCTTGCAGTGGCGAGTAACTCTTAAGGCCTGGCTAGTAGCATAGAACTTCAAATTTCAAAGTCTCAGTTATAATATACAACTTTATACCATCACCAGAATATGAAACAAATATGTTTGCTAGCAATTTGCATGTCACTTTGTCAAGATGCAAATGTATTATTTGTGAAGTGAGTTGTGTATACATGTCCTCTTCAAAGTGGAACAGACAGCACCAAGAACAGCATTCAAATATTCACAACTTAAAAATGAAATACAGTTGCTTTATCTCCTATTCCTAAGCGCCACCGTGAGTATGGTTCTCAGATCTACTAGTAACTGGATTGAGATGCAGTAAAGAAAAATACATTTAAAAAAGTAAAATAACTGCTGTAATTACATTTCACCATAATTTACCTGATCTTCTGAGAATAAAACTCCTTTTTGTGTATTTATTCTTTTAAATAGATCCCCTCCTTCACAATAATCCATCACAATGTACAGACAGCCACTTTCTGAAAAAGAGAAATAAAAAAAAATTTAAAAAATTTAAAAAAAAGTCTTTTGATATGGTTATGTATAGGAGTTTGGTTGTTTTAAAAATAACTAGTGAATTTTCTTAGGCTTAAAAGGTAGGAAGCAGAAAGTGACTATAGATCGAATGTTCACTGCTAGTTTTAGAATGATGGGGCAATTCTGGGCCCTACACTCTATTCCACACTGGTTGATGAATGCAGGTAACACTACACAGGAAATATGTGTTCATTGCAATAAGAGTGCATATTATTTGCCAGATTACTTGAATACATGCAATGAGGAAACAATTATTCTATAAGGTTGCTCCCAGGACTCACAGCTACCAAGTCTTGCAGTTTCAAAGCCTGAGGTAGCATCTCTGGACCTCTGACACAGCTACCCCTGCCTCATTATCCTTTGGTGGTCTACAGTTTACTCACAACCCAAGACAGTCTGACAGTAAGGGTGGCAGTGAAGGGTTTCTGCTTTCACCCCACTGCTCCTTAAAAACCTCAACCTCCCCCTCCCCCCTTCCCTCTCTAGCTCCTCCTCTGAAATTAACTCCACTCGCTTGTTCAAACCCATATCTGCAAACATTGCAGTTACTTATTGGCCCCCTGGTTCCCCTTGTCTTTTCATTGACCATTTTGCTGCCTGGCTTCCTTACTTCCTTTCAAGCAATATCCCATATTCTTGGGGATTTCAACATTCCCATAAACCCACCCATGACCTCAGTTGCCTCAAAACGTATTTCAATCACCTCCTCCCTATAACTATCGCAGTGTGCCAATTCTCCCACACATGTAGCTGGCAATGCACTAGATCTTGTTTTTTTCAAACGCATGCACGGTCTCCAATCTCTGTAACACTCCATTTCCTCTATCAGACCACCACCTCCTATCATTTCTTCTTGAGTGCGACACCCAACATTTTCAGCCTAATCCCTGCTCAACTCAGAAGGAACCTGAATTCTCTTAACCTCCAGCAGCTCGCAACTGATATGCTTTCATAACTCTCATCCATCCCGATCTTCTCTTGTCCCTCTCTGGCTATATCCTCATACAACTTTACCTCCACCTCTTCTACCCCCTAGACGCTGCAGCCACGCTCCAAGAACGCACATCAAGGAGTGCACGCCTCCAACCGTGGCACACTAAGTCAACCTGCTACCTGCAGAGATGCTCCCACCATTCAGCTGAACACTGCTGGAGGAAGTCTCACACACAGTCAGAATATTTGCACTATAAATTTGCCTTGCGTTTATACAGCGCAGCCCTCACCCTTGCTAAATAGTCTTACCTTTCCTCTCGCATTAGTTCATGCTCTCACAATCTTAGGTGTCACTTTAATACTTTTAACGCTCTTCATCGCCCTGCTGTAGCCACCCCTCAAACTAATCTATCAGCTGATAGCTTTGGATGTTACTTTACTAACAAGATTAGACAGTTAAGGAATAAATTATTCCCCCTTCACTTCTCCCTATCTCAACCTCACTTGGACCATACCATCCCTACCCCCCAAGCCTTTTCTCAAGATACTGAGCAGGAGGTGGCTGCTCTTCTCCTTTCCTCTCTTCCCACCACATGTCCGCTTAACCCCATACAGTCTCACCTCATCAGATTTTCAACTGCTCTCTTTCCTCTGGTGTTGTCCCTGATCCCCTTAAGCATGCTGCTTTTGTACCCGTCCTCAAAAGCCATGTCTTGACCGAGCTTCTCCCTCCAACTATCGTCCCATATCCCTGCTGCCTTTCTCCTCAAAGCTTTTGGCAAGACTTGTCTTTACCCGTTGACTTGCTTCCTCAATTCCAATGCTCTCCTCGACCCTCTTCAGTCTGGATTCCACCACCTCCACTCCACGGAGACCGCTCTGATTACAGTTACAAATTATCTAATTGCAGCTAAATCCAAAGGCCACTACACCATACTTATTCTTCTCAACCCCTTTGCTGCCTTTGACACGTCCATGCTCTAGTAATCTCTTGCATGGATTATTGTAATCCCATCCTAATTGGTCTTCCCAAAAGCCATATTAGCCCTGCTACAGTCTTTAATGAATGCTGCTGCCAGACTGATTTTCCTCTCACACCTCACCCCTGTCAATCCTTTGGCTTCCTGTATACTATATGAGTCAATTCAAAGTACTAATCCATACCTAGAAAGCACTGAGCAATTCTAGCCCCTCTCATATCTCTTCACAGATCCATAGGTATGCCCCTTCTTGATCTCTCCGCTCTGTCCATGACCTTCTCCTGTCTGCTGCTCACACCCGTACGGCCAACTCACGCTTGCAAGACTTTTCGCGGGCGGTTCACTTCCTTTGGAAATTCCTGCCTACTACAATCAAACTCTCACCTAGTCTTTAATCATGTAAAAAGGTGCATTAAACCCCATCTCTTCAGGAAAGCTTATGGCCACCCAGAGTAATCTCTACCGCTCATACCTGTCCCTTGCTCTCTATTAAAAGGCAGCACTTTACTCTCTCCTCCAGCTCTGCTTCACTCGCACCTTATTTGATTGCCATTTCCTGTCCTAATGTGTTTTACACCCCACCTCCTATAGACTGTAAGCTCGTTTGTGCAGGGTCCTCGTCATCCTATTGTTCCTGTAATTTTTTGTAATGGTCACATTTATTGTTAAATCTCACCCACCTATAATATTGTAAAGCGCTACAGAATTTGCTGGCGCTAGATAAATGCTAATAATAATAATAATAATAATAATAATAATAATAAAAAATAAATATGTAACTCTGCAAGGTCTATCAAATACATGCAGGTACCACCTCTCTGATCAATTCCCTTGTGGTTTTCAGTAAGGAGCTGGTGCTTCGCCCATGCATGCAGTCTCACATTTATGGGTTCATACATGAAAACCATGTATGAAGCCATCAAAACTATAGACCCAATAAGCACCAGCATGTTTAACTTTAGGTTTTAAAAGGACAATCGAGGCTGGAAGGGACAACCATTTTGAATGTAGTATAGAGGTAATAGATTAAAACATGCAAAATTGCATTAAAATAAACATATACACACAAATGGATTTGATGCATAATTTGATAGCAGCAGCACGGCAGTTCTAAAAGGTGTGTGGGCTAGCTTAGTGAACAAAACCAGTGATGCTCACTTCTACACACTTATCTGTTACTTAGAACTGTACAAAAATTACCTTCAAATGATTCTATGTATTGGACAATATTTGGATGCTTCATATTCGCCAGCACTGAAACTTCTTTTCTCGATTCCTGCCTCTCTTTGTTGGACATCTTAAAAGGAATATATAAAGATAACCATATTAAGTTTCCCTTATGGGCATGATTTGGACGGTGATCTAGATGGATGAGTAAGATCTTAGTTCTGATTGTGACACCCTTCTAACAGCTTTATATATTCCATAGACTTACTGGCAATCTCATATCTCGTGACAATATGTATAGCCAGCAGGTGAGGGAATCTTTAATGGCCAACTTATTCTTAGCCATAAATAAATAAATAAATTGCAGGTTGCTTCTCCATAGGATGCTGGTGCCACTAAACTAAGCCTTTATGTGGGGTATTGGGATGATGACAGAGTCTGCAAAACTGCTCTCTTGGCAAGATCATCCTCAATATAGGTGGCTTAAAAACCTTCCTAGCATGAGAGATTGACTGCAGCAACAGAGGAGTAATAGTTGAGATTCTCGAGTTGGGTCAGAGAATAGCGGAGTTGGAGGATAGGGTTGTGGAGTCCTACAATACAGCTACACACAGATCTAACGCCATTCAGGTCAGGCTGGCTGAAATGGAATCCATTTTTAAGGACCTAATAGATCGAGGTAGAACTTACGAATTTAAGACTGCCCAGAACCTAGGAGTCCTTAAGATCAATCATTTTAAGTATATTTAGCCCTAAGCTACTTGGTATCTCAGATTACATGCGTCTAATTTAGGGGTCCTTAAACTCTGGCCCCCCAGATGTTGCTGAACTACAACTCCCATGATTCTTTGATTTACTTAGATAGCCAGGGAATCATGGAAGTTGTAGTTCAGCAACATCTGGGGGGCCAGAGTTTGAGGACCCCTGGTCTAATCGATAGACCACACATAGCCCTACAGGCACATTGGCTGGAAGGCAAAACAGATTAAATCATTCGATTTCATTTATTTGAGACCAAGAAAGACATACTCAAGATGTTCAGGAACACTATACTTACCTACAACAGAACCTCTTTAGGTTTTCCAAGATCTGTGTCCATCTACTATTCAGAGGTGAAGGCTAGAGAGACCAGTTGCTGATATACTATGTTCCCATGGTATTCTTAACAGGTTTTAGAAAATTGGACAAGATGCTCTCTTACACTAGTTTCGTTTCTCGTTTGGCATGTATTTTAAGTGTCCCCCAAATTTTGCGACAAATCACTATCGTAGACTTTTTCAATTATACTGTACTTTGGATATGTAATGCATAAATTGAGATTGCTTTTCTTCTTTTAAAGAGATTTTCTTTTTAAGCAAATGGCAGGTCAGACTTACAAACAAGAATTTTATAACAAATCTAATACATGTGTCACTCAAAAGACTTTAATACATTCATACCAACGTAAGGAGAGAAGAGGACACAGAAAATAAAATTAGGAGATCCATGAAAGGAGGGGGGGATGGGAATGTAAAGGTCCAGAGAATGCTCACAACCATAGTGAAAATTGACTCAATAAAACTCAGTGATCATTATGACAAGGACTATGAGCCGAAAACCCCATTTCTTCTGGTACAACCGGACTGAACCAAGAACCTTGGAGGTTAGGTAATTCATTAAAATTGCTTACCTAATTTTACAATGGAACAAGCACAGGGGTGGGCTGGGCCAGGGGGCAGGGAGGCAATTGCCCCCCAGGCCGCCCTAAGTCATTTGAAAAACGGGCGCCGCAGGGCCAGTCCTGGGCGCCAGAAGGAGGGGGGTGCCGCCCAGAGCTGGCTAGTGGCCTGTCACAGGGAGCCCAGCAGGTGGCCAGCTGGCCACCTAGGGCGCCCCAGTAGCAAGGCAGAGGCCACCTCTGCAGCAATATACCGGCCGTGGGAGGAAGGAAGGAGGAAGGAGGCAGGCGGCGGCTGGAAGGGAGCACTGCCTCTGCTGATGTTCTTCCTGCTCCCTCAGGCGCCCTCTCTGGTGATGCCGGGAGCCGGAATAGGATGTCATTCCGGCCCTGCATCACTAAACTGCGCAAGGGAGCAGAGAGAAGCAGGAAGAGCATCAAAGACACTGGACTCTGGGGAGAGGACTCCTAAAGGTAGGAGTTACAAAAAAGAAAATTAATTTGTGTGTGTGTGTCTGAAAGTAAGTGTGTATGTCTGGAAGTGTGAGTGTGTGTGTGTGTGTCTGTAAGTGAGTGTGTGTCTGGAAATGTTACCCCACTGCCCAGCACATGCCTGGCTGACAGGGGAGATCCTTTGACCTCCCTGGCCGGCCAGTGGAAAGGTGGCCCTGTTCTCTGGCCGTGGGCCGGTGAGGGAGATCTCCCTTCGATCGGGGAGAGAGGTATCTAGGACATAGGGCTGCAGGAGAAGCCTATCTGTAAGGCAGATCGCTCCTCCCGCAAGCAGGATGTGTGGAGCATTGCCGCACATTACCATGGCAATGCTCCACAGAGCATTCTGCGCGCAGGAGGACAGGAGACAGCCTGCAGCCAGACAAGTTGCAGGCTGTACAGAATTCACAACTGGACCACCACGACTGGCTGTGTCCCAGCCTCTTTTACCAAAGGTAAGACCAAGGGTGGGGGGACATATAGATTGTATTTAATGTATAGTAGTATTAAAAAAACAAAAACATTTGCTACCTGCACCCCTGAAACACACAGCACCCAACACACATATAGCACTCCCCACACATGCAACACCCCACTCATATAGCACTCCACACACACAGCACCCCACACTCACATAGCAGTCAACACACACACAGCACCCCACACACCACACCCATACACACAAACACATACACTGCACCCCTCACTGCAGTGTGTGTGTATTCAGCAGTCTGTATGTATTCAGCCATCTGTGTGTGTGTTTGTGTGTTTGTATTCAGCGGACTGTGTGTATGTATTCAGCACTCTCCATGTGTACTCAGCAGTCTCCATGTGTACTCAGCAGTCTCCATGTGTGTGTACTCAGCAGTCTGTCTGTGTGTGTACTCAGCAGTCTGTCTGTGTGTGTACTCAGCAGTCTGTCTGTGTGTGTACTCAGCAGTCTGTCTGTGTGTGTACTCAGCAGTCTGTCTGTGTGTGTACTCAGCAGTCTGTCTGTGTGTGTACTCAGCAGTCTCTGTGTGTGTACTCAGCAGTCTCTGTGTGTGTACTCAGCAGTCTCTGTGTGTGTGTGTCTCTTCATCAGTCTGTTTGCGTGTATGTATTCAGCAGTCGGTGTGTGACTGTATTCAGCAGTCGGTGTGTGACTGTATTCAGCAGTCGGTGTGTGACTGTATTCAGCAGTCGGTGTGTGACTGTATTCAGCAGTCTGTGTGTATGTATTGTATGTATGCTTTGCACTTGTTGGAGGTACTTATAAATATAATCTTTATTGTATCTATAATTTACGTTTTTATTCCTGTAAGTTGTGTAGGCAGGGCCCCAGTGCACTGCTTTGCCCGGAGACCCATAATGTTGTTAATATGGCACTGGTGTCTGTCAGTAAGTGTGTGTGCCAACGAATGTGTCTGTCATGTAAGTGTCTGTCAGTGAATGTGTGTCTGCCTGTCAGTGTGTGTGTGTATGTGTCTGCCTGTCAGTGAGTGTTTATCTGTCAGGGTTTGTGTGTGTGTGTTATTGAGAGTGAGTGCCAGTGTGTCTGTCAGCAGGGCCAGCCTTTGAGGTGTGCAAGCTGTGGGGTCACGTAGGGCGCCATGACAACAGAGCCGCCCGGTGACCAACACAGCTCACAAGTTTGGGACAACAGCATATTTAATTTAAACGATTCCCTGGTGGTCCATTGGTGTGCACCAGCAGTAGTTGCCTTAGATCTTATCCTCTCCCTTGTGGTTCCGGTGCTCAGCTAGTGAGTCAGAGCACAGGATCAGAGATACTCAGCCTGCACTCTAACAACATTGAAAGTCGGAGCCACAAAGGAGTAGGTATGGCAAAGAGCTGCTGATTAGCATAACATCAATATCCATTATAAAACCAGGAAAAGGTGGGCACGATTTGGGGGTGCAATGGGCCACTTGACTGGATTTGCCCCCCAGGCCTGAGAGTGCCAGCCCTCCCCTGAACAAGCACCAAGATGGCTTAGCAATGTTTCTCCAGGTCTCAGCCAAAGCCCTATGTGCCTCTAGCGCAATTTTGCTTATCAAACAGCGTTCATGCAAAGTGCATGAACCTGCTCCTGCTTAGAGAGAGTATGTCTGATAGGTGAAGAGCATTCACCAATTTAAGTGCCTTTGTCGGTCAGTAGTGTGTTTCATCCTTTCAGTAGCAGCAGTGACTCATCCTCACAAGATACATTAATTTCCTTGTACTTTCTTCAATATGTCTTAATTACATGATTTAATAAGTTTGTCCCAGTGTAATATGAACCAGGCCACTAAAGTGAAGGGTGGAATTATACCTCACATCCAGCAGGAAACAGACTGAAACTCGATTACCTCTAAAAGAAAGCTAGCTAATACTTTGTAGCGCTCTATTAATGACGGTTTCTAGTTATAGAGAAAACAAAATAAAGCAAGAATTTGTTGCAGTGTGGCGTCTTCACCCGGACAGAAATTTTTTACGTATATTTCAGTGGGGATTTAAAAAAAATAAAAAATAATTTGTAGACCTTTTATTGAGCTACATTTCTCTGCCATCCTCCATTTTATAATATAGATGTTCACAGTGCAATAGGTTTAGGTTTTATTTGTGCTTCTTTTGTTTCATCTGTATAAAGTCTTTGCACATTTTTTTTTTTTTTTTTACTACACATACCAATGCAAATACAGAGCCATAATGAATATGTGTAGCTTTAAAAAACACTGTACTGACCCATCCATTTCCAGATTCTAAAATTTTCCAAACATTCTAATGCTTCCTGTTCTATTTAACGCAGGCATAAGTGGCTAATGCTTTTTCTTGCATTCTGCCTGTTTATTTCAATTTTGTAATGAGGACAATTATTGACAGTACTAGATCGTATATAGACTAAATATCTGGATGCATTGTTAATTGTTGGTAACCTAAACCATAAGCTTATTAAAAAAAAAAAAATCACCTTGCTCTGACGTGCTTGTATTTTGTTAATGTATGCCATTATTAACAGTCAAGTTAAACTAAATAAATAAATCCAATACCCTTACAAGCTTTCAACCATTTTGAATCCGGAGTTTTATGATGATAGGTAATGGTCAGCTGAGTGTGTGTTCTCAAAACCACTGCAGTATAAATGTGCATGTGCTCTACTGCACAAATTGCACATGAACTCAGTGACTAAATGTGAATTGCTGTAAACAGCACGATGCAAAACTAGAGCCCCACAAACTCCTGAATAACTGTGATTCTACTAGGACTATTTGTAGTAAAAAAAAATTCTCTTAAATACAAGTGTGGCACCTAGCGGAAGGAAATGCAATTTAATTAAAATGTATTCGCATTTGACAAATTGATTTTTCAAATCAGAAAAACGTGTCATAGGGTGTAGCACTACCATTGGCACTACCCTAAGGGAAGCCTAGTTCATGACAGATTGAGGACTGCACTTCTAATAAAAATGTTGAACCCCAAGTACCATGTTAACTCTAGATTGTAAGCTCGCTTGAGCAGGGTCCTCATTAACCTATTATTCTGGTAACACTCTCTAAATGTGTCAGTTGCTGAATTACGGTACCCACTTTTATAATATTATAAAGCGCTCTGGGATAAATTGGTGCTTTATAAACGCAAAAAAAAAAAAAAAACCCAATAAAAAATGTGCCCCAATACCAAATAAAACTACATCCCTCGGCCCTCGGCCCTCGGCCCCCAGCCTGCTGAGATACAGCAGACCCCATTAAACCCATGACAGCTTGGCCATGAAGTGCCTGTGAGCTGTGCTCGGTGCTGTACCGCGGAGCTGACACTCACCTTAGAGATGCCGATCTCTTTAATGACATACTGCCTGCCATCGGCTTTGGATTTCACCAGGATGGCCTTTCCGAAGGAGCCCTCCCCGATCTTGCTTATTTTCACGTACTTCTCCATGTCTGGTGGGGGTGAGCCCTACGGCATGACTGTGCTGGCGGCCCTGGGTGGGGGATGCACTCGGCTCCCAGTCTCCGCTCGGCTGGTCGGCCCGCTGGCTGATGTTAGCGGTTGCTGGGCAGCGGAGCCGCCGGCGTGCGTCGCACAAAAATGACGTCACGGACCTGTCAGCCGCCCGATCCCGCTATCAGGGCTCTGCGAGCTGTAACGCGAGATGGGCTTCAGACGGTGTGCTGTCAGTAGAGGAGGGTGGGAGAAACGCCGAGTACAAAACTGTTATGTGCAGCTTGCTGGTTGTCTAATGTTGCTAAGTGAAGCATCGGCGGACATCTTTACTACTGGAATAAAAAATATAATATTTTAAATTATTTTTATTTTTTGTTGCTGTTTATGGGGCGTTTATTCAGTGAAAAACGAATTGTAGTGTAATTAAATCAGATAGGGTTATTGAATAGAGTGATTGCTGGGAATCCAAACTAAATTAGATATTTAACAACAAAATAGCCAAACAGGAAGCATATGTAATATGCATCATTTTTCCAATTTATTTTGGCCTTAAATTGGAAATTTACTTTGAATTCCCGAGAATGCTCACTTAAAGGAACGCTATACTGTCAGAAACACAAACACGTATTCCAGACACTATAGTGTTAAAATAATTTTCGGTCACCGGCCTCCTCAGATCTCACTGAAAAGGTGTTTTTACTAACCTTTTCCCCCCTCGCTGCGGCTGACCCTGCCTGGTTCCGCCTCCATCGTGATGATCTCAGCCAATCCAATGCTCTCCCATAAGGTAAGAAATATGGGTCATAAATATTCAGTCTGATGTGGCTGCACTGACATACAGGGTCTAACAGGACGACTGGGAGCCTTGAAATCAACTATCTGGGACTGTGTTAGCCAGCCTGTTTCTTTGCAACAAGTGGTCCATGGGCTACAATGCCAAAATAAAGCATATGATTGCTGCTTTGCTGCATTGGAGAACACACGGCGCAAAAAACAATTTGAAGATTCAGGGCACTCCAGAGGAAGAAAAACTAATTATTATCCCTCTTCCCTCCCCACCTGCTAAAAGTATAGAGAAATTGGCACACTTAGTATTGGGGCAGCCAGGCGTAATCTTTTAAACTTACAAGTATAACCCCCGCCTAATAGCTCCTGAAGAAAATTAATTTTGCTAAGAAGTATAGTTTGCTGACTTAGATTAGGTAGCAATGGTACTAGTGATGTACCCTGTTTGGTTTACCATTAGTGCATCTTTCGTTAAAGGATCACTATAGTGTCAGGAAAACAAACTCGTTTTCCTGACACTATATAATCCTTTGGGGACCCCTTCAGCCACTTACCTTAATCCAGCGCTGGGCTCCCTCGGCGCTGGTGACCTCTCCTCCCCCACCGATGTCAGCGCCCGAATGGAGCGGAATGCGCGGCAAGAGCCGTGCGCGCATTATAACAGTCCATAGGAAAGCATTTCTCGTATTGCACGCTGGATGCGAATTTCGCATCCAGCGTCGCAGAAGCGCCTCTAGCTGCTGTCAGGAAGACAGCCACTAGAGGTTGGATTAACCCTGCTATGTTTACATGTGAAGGGTGAAAACCTGAGGGACATTGCACCCAGACCACTTCATTGAGCTTAAGTGGTCTGGGTGACTATAGTGTCCCTTTAACAAAACATTGAATCCCTTGTTCGCTGTGCGTATTACGTGCTTGACTATCACACTAAATTGCATGTCATGGTTTAAGCTTTTATTCTTTGTCTTTATGTCATGTTGATATTTTTGTGGAGTAAACCAAAAAAAAAGAATTCAAAAAAATCACATTAGAAGGGACAGTGCAGATTAAGCCTAAATCCATCTGTCTCTATTTTATATGCTAATGTCCTTCATTTCTAGAACCCCCATATTGTTGGTGTATCTGAGAGTATGCAAAGCTCCACAGCAATAATACTCACAGTAATGTATCATTAAACTACAAGAATATATCTTTAGAAATGAGTCTGTCTAAATAAGCTACACTCTCCTTGTTATAATTTACATTTAGTTCCATAAATTGTTATTAATAATCAGTGACTCCCCATGCATAAAAATTTATTGAAAAAGGTATGTTTCTTTTCAAGCCAGTTTATGAATAGGGAGTCACTGATTGACTGAGAGTGTTAGCTGACCGCTCTCAGCCAATCAGGGGCACCCATGTCCGGCAGCACTCTGCGCTTTCTGAAACTGAGAGTTCAGAAGCTGGGTGCAGCCTGTGGTACCTAACGTTTGGCACTAGAGACTTACTTTGGGGTTAACCCTGAACATAAGAGTGCACCAGTGGGCCCACTGGCATCCAATTACATCATTTAGATGAAATTGTTTTGGTGCCCGGAGTGGTGTCCCTGTTTGTCCATTTCAAATGTTGGGAGGTATGGTTTAAGAATGTATTGACAACTTACCTGCGGCACCTGCCTCCTCTGCACCCAGACGCCCCTTGAGAGAGTCAAGTACAGTGGTGCAGGGAAGTGTTCATTAGCTGAGAGAACCCAGCTGTCAACCAATGAACTGGCACTACACATTGGAGCTAAATGCCAGGAGCATCAAGCTCAGAAGGTAAGGCACACGGCCCTCAGAGGAATCCAGGTAAGTTGCCAAACTGTTCTTATACATTTTAACTGCTTACAGTAGGGTGGGAACTAGCATATTCCTGGCACGTGACCACTATAGTGGGTTATGGTGTATCTAAAATTACTTTGTTACAGGGGCAAAACCAGAGCATAAACTTGTGAGAGGCACTGCCAGATGTTGTGATGGTGCATTGGATAGAGCAGGGGTCTGCGTGCAAATACCAGACCCGAGCTGGTTTAGATCTCCCCTTTTAGTGTGGAAAGAAACCAGTGGATGCAGACTGATACTGTAGGGAAAGCAGAGAATTTGATCTGGAAGTATATCAGTATCAGGGGCGGAGATCGCTTGGTTGATGACGGGGGAGACAAGACACCGCCGGTCAGGGAGACCTTTTGATCTCCATGCCAGCTCGTTGAGCAGCTGGCGATTCCCTGCGGTGACCCCAGAGAGCTGGTTCTCTTGATCATTGCCTAAGTGGCTTAATGAAAGCGTCAGCGCTCATTACACATCATCCCTTCTCTACTCTCACATATATCACCTGAAATTACCAGATTTTACTAATTACATGACGTACAGTCATGATTTTATAAAGGACACGGAGGCGAGTATTAGGCTTTATATCTTTCTTTGTTCCTCAGCAGCAAAGAAAGGATATTGATATTTTTAATATAGCAATAACAAGAAAACAAATACCCTTAAGGGTTAACCATATAACATTCCAGATATATTAACCAATGGGATCTTGTACTATGTCCCCTCATGTGACCTAAGCCACTCCCTCTTTCTAGCTGACGCAAAAGCTGAACACATCAACTGGAAAAAATTAATAAACTTGGATAGTCTCCGGTAGAGGGTTCCGGTGAGTCTACTGGTATAGTTAGGGGGTAGAGGATGATCCCGGTTAGTCCATAACAGGGTTAAGCTGTAGGAGACAGAGAGATATATGGTAAAATATATTCAAATATCGTTGTTATGCATATAAGCCGTACAAGTTTTTCAAAAAGCGTTCATATATGAAACATTTTTCTTAAGTCCAGGAAATTCAGATTCAAAATTAATATTATTAGTATATAACACTGCATCTGAACATCCAAATCACTCCTACCTGTTTATAGGCAATTGGGTGGGAAGATACATGTATGGCTTACCTGTCATTGGGTGGGCTAATACTCGCCTCCGTGACCTTTATAAAATCATGACTTTACGTCATGTAATTAGTAAAATCTGGTAATTTTATTAGAGGACACGGAGGCTCATATTAGGCTAGTTTAAAGCTGTGAGATGACCATAGACGAGATATGTTCTGTTGGCCCAAAATAGTAGTCTTTAAATGTCGATTCTCGGGACCAATCAGCTGTGCGGAGAAGGTCCTCCAGTTTACAACCAATTGAGAATGCTTTAGAGGCCATAGCGCCTCTAGTAGTATGTGCTCCGTAAACTGATGTGTCGATGCCAGCAGCCGACATTATCCATTTCACCTAGCATGCCAGAGTTACCGTGGATACTGGGTGATGAGGTTTCATCACCGCCAAGAATAGGTCGTGTGTTGTAGGGTTTCCGAACTGACTGGGTCCTTTTTTCATACTCTTGAAGGCATGCCACCGGGCAGAGGTTAGCGTTGTGAGGAAATGATGGGTAGAAGACTGACGTGATTTTTGACTTTGTACGTCTGGTGATATTAAACAGCACACCATGTGGGGTGAAGGACCGTGCATCGATATCCAGGGCTCGAACGTCTGACACCCTTTTGCAGGAAATTAAGCACAGGAGCATAGCCAATTTTGCGGACACTTGCTTGAGTGTGAGATCCGAGTTTGGAGGCCAGTCTTCCAGTAAGCGAAGGACCTTATTAACATCCCATAAGGCTGTATATTGGGGTTGTGGTGGCCGCGCAAATTTTATGCCTCGTAAAAGGCGACAAACCAATAAATGCTTCCCAGCTGGGAAACCCTCCTATCCACTGTGGCCGGCTGAGATCGTCGATCTGTACACATTTATGGTGTGGTAGGCCAAACCTTGGTCATACAGGGTAGTAAGGAAAACCAGGACGTGATTTACAGGAGCACGTAGGGGATCCACGTGTTGTTCCACGCACCAACTACACCATGTGTTCCAGGCATGAGTATAGGATCGTCTTGTTCCTGGGGCCCAAGCTCCCGCCAGTAAGTCCAAAGTTGTTCGTGGAATGTTCGGCAGGGACCAGGGTCCCCAGAGAGGAGCTACGCTTGAAGTCTGAGGTGGCCTTGTATCAGATTTGGGTGAGAGTTCCCATCGGGGTCTGATAATAAGTCCGTGGTTCCTGGGATCAGTCTGGGAAGGTCGATAGACATTTCAATGAGTGAAGGGAACCAAGGTTGTGCCGTCCAGAACGGTGTTATTAAAACTAGCAATGTTAGGGAGCGTTGTAGGTCTAGGAGAGTTCGTTCTATGAGTGAGAAGGGAGGGAAGGCATAGAGCCGGTCGTTTGGCCAATTTTGTAGGAAGGCGTCCACTGCCAAGGCGTCTGGGTCCAGTCTCCAGCTGAAGAACGAAGGAAGTTGAGCATTCAGCCGGGAGGCAAAGAGGTCGATGTGCATCGGGCCCCAGAGTTGTTGGAGTTTTTGGAATATCAAGTGATTCCAAGCACT